GTTGATGCCAAGGTCTCCACCCAAGAAATAAAGGTCACCAATCCGAAAAATACCAAAAACACCCATAAGTGTAATTAATTTTATTATAAGCCTAATAGTGGATATTACAGTCATAACCACGTCCTTGCCCTTATCTTTGAACTTGGGCAGTAACAACATCAACCTCCATTAAAATAGAACCATTTCCTATAAGAAATGGAGTTAAAGAATGTGTAGCAAGAAGTGAAAGATGTGATATTTTATAATGTTGTGCCAAACAAAGAGCATCATTAAGGATGGCTGGAATAAGTGCATATATAAATTTTACAAGATCTTGATGAAGCACTAGTCACAACATTCCCAACTTAATTCGCTCCAACATATTTATCTTTAGATAAAGTAAGAGGCTTTAGAAAAGAATGCTAAATTACATCATTGACTTAGATGGCCTTTGACAAAAACGATATAATTATTAAAAAGTATCATCACAATCATTAACATGTCTAAATGCATGTTTGAAGATATCTAGGAGAATGCTTCAATCCCTACAAATGGTTCCGCTCAAACCATTATACCATTGCAGTGACATCCTTTGAAAACATGTGAAAAATTGACACAAACACTGAACATCATTCCAAAAGTAATATGTAGCAATCATCTTAAAGTGATCGAAACAATGGTACATATCATCCCTAGGATTCCTATAGAAAAACTCTAGTTGGACACAAGGATTGGCAGCAAAAACAATAAGAGTTGTACCATGTGTTATAAATGTTGCTATCAACTAAGTTTATTTGTTCAACTGTAATCACATAACATCACGCAACTACACCAATTACTGCTCAAAAGTTAGAGGAGGAAGTTATTACCCTGCCATACAAAAAAGAAAAAAAACAAAAAAGAACAAATTGAAAAAACTATAAGGAAAGAGAGATTACAAAAGCTAGATTTAAACCAAAATCCCAAATCCAAGTACTCTTTATGGACAATCAAAATTGCCCCTCATTTTCACTAATATAAGTGTCTAGAATATGGAAATGAAATACAGAAATGTACATATTAATAAGCTCAAAAATCCTAGTTTATATATAGGTCCGAATGGTTAGGATTAAAACTAATCTGATGACTATTAAATCCCACTATGCAAATATTAGTATATAGCATCGTAATCAGAAACTTGGACCTCATAGATATAAATATCCTTATATGGAAAGTTTAGAAGTAACAAAGTTTTATAATAAAATTACTAAAAAATAATTACTAAACAATATTTCTAAAATAAATGTATTAATCTATTTTAAATATACTTCATGTATTTAAGATCATGAGATAAAAATTGATGGCTAAAAATATAAAAAGAACTATAAATCATATAAATAGTTATAATTATGGAATATTAATTATTATTATAAAATTTCATAAGGTAATTAAAAGTTATTTAAAAAGTGTAATAAATAAATTCTATATATATATATATATATATATATATATATCTTAAAATCTAAAATATCATAATAATAATTTTATAAGCTTATAGTATTTATTAAAATTTCAAATATAATTAATTTTTATTGCTATTATAAATAAAAAGACAGATAAATATTAAAATAATCTAAAACTTCCTATAAATGTTATATTACTATCATTGAAATAATTGATAATATTGAAATAGTCAACTCAATCTTTAATTAAAATTTATTTATGCAGATTTATTAAATTTGAAGAAATATATAGAAAAATTATCAAATTTATATAACAATAACTTTTTTAAATATTTTTAATAGCATTGATAAAAGTAATTTATAACTTTGACTTGTTTGATTTGAAATATGCATCCTCATACTAATTGAACCAATTTAAATTAAATCTTTAAAACTTATTTGCTCTCTACTTATATATAGGAATAGATAGATTAGATTCAGTCCTAAATGAATTGTCCATATGCTATTTATAATTAGTATATTACCTAAGCAAAGTAATAGGTAATACGCAAGAATATAAAACTTCTACAAGACCTTTGATCTATACAATGTAATTGCTAATAACCACAACAAAAATAAAACCCAAAACACAATGGTCATTTATGGAATTTTGGTGAATCCAAATGCTCAAACCAATATTAAATCCATAACTTTCAACTGAATAAAGGATTTTGAGAGCTATTACAATCCATGAGTATCCCATCTTTAAATCATTAACTTGGATGTAAACTTCTAAATTTAGACTTTCTAAAAAAAACTCTAATAAACCCAATTGGATAAAGAAGTGCAAGATATCGATTTTCCCTAATGAGAGGGAGAATGTCATAAACGTAATTATAAAAATTAAAAGTTATTTATCGGCTAGTCCTTTTAGATATTCTTTCTTTATTGCCATAATGGCAAGAAGTCAGTATTGTTGAACTCTTTTTAGTCTCCACTTAAAAAATTAATCTTTATATATACACTTAGCCAAAAGAATATAAGGACAGAATTCTTAAATGCTATTAGTGAAGGGTATTTGATCTAGTTAGAAAAACTCAATCATTAATTTACACTTGCTAGTGTTGGGAACCCTTGTGGTATTGAGATTAGTCCCTCAATACTCGTTAAGTGATAGATTACTGTGTTTGCCAAAACAGTCTCACTATCATGCCCCTTTGTGTTAGTTTTGTTCAGTCCCACTAAGTATTTATAGAAAGTGTTTTTAGTTTGGCATATTTATAGAATGTAAAGATTATTATAAGCAACAAAAAAGAACAACTCAAGAAGCAATCCATAAAGGTTTAAATATAAAAGGAAATGGCTTATGCACAAAAATACACCCCCTTTTTCAATTGGTTAAGGGTTTTAAGATATTTAGGGTTAAATGTCCTTGGGTTTGAATAGTATTGGGCTGGATGACCTCTTGGGAATTCCAAACTCAAGAGCTTACAATTATTTTGAACACTAACTAATAAATAGAGTTGGACTTGATACTTTTTTAATACCAAATATAACCTTATGAATTTAGACTTTCCAAGATGATATTCCAAAACTATTAATCAATTCGAAAAATGGATACACTCTTGTTCATAAGCCCTTTTATATATATATATATATATATATATATATATATATATATATATATATATATATATATATATATATATATATATATATATATATATATATATATATATATATATATATATATATATATATATATATATATATATATATATATATTTAAACCTTTATAAATCATCTTTCAAGTTTAAATTTTTTTGGTTGCTTGCATTGGACTCAAGGCTATTAGTAAAATTTATATCTTCCTTTTAGTCAACTTTTAATACTTGCATAAAATCAAACTCATTACATTTATCTTTGTCTAGCACCACCTATAAGAGGTTGAATTTACTCCATTTATCTTCCACATCCTACTTCAAAGGAAAAAAACACTTTAAAGCATAAACTCTACACTTATTATCTATATTTAGCCTTATTCCACTATCTATTTGGCTTTACTACATCAAGATTGAATGTTTTATTTGAACTTGTTACACTTGTCCACAATTTATATAATTTGTCCTTACTCTATTACCATATCTACTTGTCATTAAGGTTTGACTTTTGTTTGTCCTCTCTAACCACTACTTTGAAGATAAAAATGTCTGAAACATCAAGATAAAGAGGAGAAAATAAAAAAATATTGAGGAATAAAGATTGTGGAAGAAAAAAAAAAGACACTGATCAAAAACTTTACTAATAAAACTCAATATTAAAATCAAAAAAGTAAAAAATGATCAATGTGCCATAGAACAAAATGTTGTAGATGAGGATAAAACACTAAAAATCTAAAAAGGGGGTAAAAATAAAGTAATAAAAAAAGTTGAGAAATAACATAAGGTAAAGAAAAATGATCAAATTGAATTCCTCATTAGTAGGAATCCACTCAAATTTGTAAATATCATTTTCCTATATTTGATCCTTAAATATTCTCCAAGAACTGAACTACATTTTCTATACCTCTCTAATCGATGTTATGATCATACTTTAATGGGAGACAGTAGAACACCAAGAATAAAAAATATTATACAATCATATTGTATGAAAATTGGTGATAGTAACACACCAAAGATGGTGATTATGCCCCATAACACTAAAAGTTTAATTTAATATAGCAATTATAGCTACTTTAATTTATATACTCCTTGATTAATGATGGTGTGGCTTGATAGAAGAAAAGAATGTAATGAAGATTGAAAAAAATATCTAAAATCCTAGATCTAGTAAAATACTAACAGAGGTTTACAAAAAACATAAGAATAATGGAACAAAAACAAAAGCATAATCATGAACATTAAGCAAAATATTGCAAAAAAAATTATCCTTCAAGGATAATTATAACTTTTTTCATCTTTGATTAAGATAAGGATTAAGGATTTTAAATTGTGTTTAAACCCTTAGTTATATATATGAAAGCTAAATAAAAAATAATCTGTTATGTGTTCCATATTGCAATGCTTGGTATGCTTAACAGTAGTGTTTTTTAATAATCGAATTGATCAATAATTATAAACATGTTTATAATTTATAAATCAAGATTATTTCATATCAACCATTAGATGGTAGATTAAACAAGAATATACTAGCAAGTGTTTGGGAAAGTTTATAGATTATAAATACAAGATTAATCTAAACAAATATTAACCATTAAATGGTAGAATATCCTAGAATATCCAAACATATTTTAAGTATATCCACTACCAAGGTTTTTCTTATGAAAACTAAAAATCTTTAAACATATATAAGTCCATTGATTTCTTTAATGGAAATTATTGAAGATGCTACATTTATTTTCTTAGGTATCATTCTCTGGTGCCACATTTATTTTCTTAGGCATCACTCCCAAGATCAGTGTTGATGGTTTTTCTCTGCCAACTAAAATTTATATCATTATACATATTAATATACATCACGTCTTTATAAAAAAATTATACTTCTCCTAGTCAAAGACTCCTATAATTAGAGTCCATCTTATGTACAATTATATATAAAAACTTTACTTAATTGATAGTTTGAATTTTACTGAAATATCAGCTTCATCCTTCCACATTATAACTTCAGCTCCAAACGCTCTCAGTACCTCGGAGAATCCATGCAAAGGAACTTCAAGAGTCTTACCTCCATATCCTCCATATGAGACCATTTGAAAAACCTTACTCTCAGCTTGTGCTCACAAATTTCTCCTCCCTGTTCGAAGCTTCATGTTAGCTTTTCTTTTGGTCAGGCTCGCATAACTTCTTACCTCGTGTCAATGGCATCGTATGGGCTGGAAGCATGCGCAAGCGTTTCAATGCAGTGCTCTTCGTGCTCAGCTTTCCTTCTCGTCAGGAAGGCGAGCACATCTTGCATGGTGGGTCTTTGTTGTGGATCCTCTCTCGTGCATGCCAGTGCCACTGCGAAGACTTGCAGTATCTGGAGATGTTCCTCTTGACGATCGAAAACGATGGTCTCGTCCAAAAGGCTCGCTATTTCTCCAGGAAAGTGACTACGAGCCCACTGAACTAGGCTCGTCCCATCTCCAAAGTTACCAGTCGGACGCTTCCCAGTGACAAGTTCCAACAAAACTACTCCATAGCTGAAAACGTCCCCTTTCGTCGAGGGAATGCTTGAGTAGCTATACTCTGAAAACCCAATATTGAAGGAGGAAAAAATAAAAGAGAGACTTTGGAAGCTTTACCTGGTGCTACGTATCCAATCGTCCCTTTGAAGCTCGACGTCGTCGTTCTCGTGTTTTGCACTCTCACTTTGGAGATCCCAAAGTCACTTATGCGAGATTGTAGCTCCGAGTCGAGGAGAATGTTAGATGGCTTGAGATCGCAGTGAAGAACTGGCGAGCTGCATTGGTGATGAAGGTATTCCAGTCCCTGAGCAGTTCCCAGAGCGATCTTATAGCGGACTTCCCAGGTGCTAAAAGCTTCTAGTCGGCTCTGATGATCGTGAAGCTGCTTGTCGAGGCTTCCATTTGGCATAAACTCGAGGATTATAGCCATGAGCTCCGGCGTCGAGCAGTATCCAATAACTCGTCCAAGGTTGCGATGCCTCAGCGTCCCCAAAGTATGGAGCTCCCTCAAGAAAAGCTTGCGAGAGGTTCTCGCCGATGCCATCTTCTTCACGGCAATGCAGCGTCCTCCCGGTAGCTGTGCTTTGTAAACACTGCTCAAAGCTCCAACTCCGACTACGTTGCTGCTGCTAAAGTTGTCCGTGGCTATAGAAAGATCGCTAGTGGTGAATTTCGTGAGGCCGTGAGGAATATCTTCAGTCGGTGCCTCAACGATGCTTTGTCGATGGATTTTGAGTACGTAAGCAGCTGCGATCACCAGCAGCAGCAGCAGTAGTACCAAAGTTCCCGTGACAGTGACAACGAGAACTTTCCACCAGGTGAAGAAACCATGTCTATGGCGGCATTTCTTGTGGATACTTGGCCCGCAAAGCTTGGAGTTTCCCGTAAACGAGGAAGAAGAGAAGCTTGCCAAAGGCCCCGGTATTGGGCCTTCCAAGTTGTTGGACGAAATATCAAGAACAGTAAGGTCTGGAAGATCCAGAGCTGGAACGAACCCGGAAAGTTGGTTGTGTGACAGATCCAATTGCGACAGAGCCTTCAACTTGGAGAGCTTCTCGGGTATACTCCCAGTTATGTTGTTCCTCGAGAGATTTAGAGCTCCGGAAAGTCCTGAGAGATCTCCCAGTGCTGGCGGGATCTCTCCAGTCAAGAGGTTGGACGAAAGGTCCAGCTTTGCAAGTCCTGTGCAAGCTCCAAGGCTCTCTGGTATGAATCCCGTCAACTGGTTGGCAGAGAGATCGATTGCCTGGACCAAAACCATGCTCGCAAAGTCTCGTGGAATCTCTCCCGTCAACCTGTTGTGCGAGAGATTAAATCCCGAGAGGAGAGCTGGAAGCTTGAGAACCTGTGGTGGAATGCTACCGCCGAGAGAGTTGTAAGAAAGGTCGACGTTTTCTAGCCGGAAGCAGCTCGAGAGACTCGCTGGAATGACCCCTGTGAGCTGATTTCTCGACACGTCCAGATTTCTCAGCTGCGAGAGCTGACTTAAGTTGCTTGGAATCGTCCCTACAAGCCTATTGTCCTGGAGCTTCAAGTAGTTTAGCGAAGAACACCGGCCTAGTTCCGGAGGAATCCTTCCTTCAAGTCTGTTCGATTGTAGCGACAACCCCTGTAGATCCTGTAAAAAGCCGAGCGTCGCTGGGATCTCACCCTCGAGCTGGTTTTCCTGTAGCCTCAGCACCTGGAGTCGCGATGCGTTTCCTATCTCCTCCGGGATCCAGCCGCCAAGTTGGTTTTTTTCAAGTGCTACCTTTGACAGGCCTCTCATTGCTCCCAGTGATCGGGGTATGCTTCCGGAGAAGCGATTCTCGTGAGACCACAGCGAGTGGAGTGACGAAAAGTTTGCCACTGATTCTGGAATCACACCTGAGAGTATGTTGGAGTGAATGCTCAGGATCTGGAGCTTCGTCAACCTGTTCCCCAGCTCGGGTGGCAAAGGTCCTGTCAAGCTGTTTCCATCGAGTAGAAGCTGGACAAGCTCCGTGCAGTTGGACAAAGAGCTCGGTATAGAACCCGTCAGCCTGTTTCCCCAGAGGTAGAGCAGCTTCACCTTCGAGAGCAAGCCATAACTTTCTGGAATCCTTCCCACCAAAAAGTTCTCAGAGACGAGGAGCTCCTCGATGCCAGAACAGTTGCTCAGTGATCCTGGAACGTTGCCTGTCAGCTTGTTTCTGTAGAGCCGGAGGTACCTGAGCTGTCGCAGCTTGCCGAGTTCTTCCGGGATCTCACCATCGAGCTGGTTCTCGATGAGACTTAGCTCCACGAGCTGCGAGCAATTGCCAAGCGACGCAGGAACACTGCCGGTGATGTTGTTGCCTTCGAGACGAAGAACACGCAGCCGGCCGAGGAGCCCGAGGTCCACAGGTACTCCACCGGTTAACGAGTTGCGGGAGAGGTCGATGCTTTCCAAATTCCTGGAGGCGTAGATGGTGGACGGGATCGGACCAGTGAGAGTGTTGAAGCTGAGATTCAACGCTGTCAGCGATCCATCAAGGCTAAAGAGCTCACCCGGTATGTTTCCACTGAGAGAGTTGTCCGAGAGATTTAGCTGCTGCAAGCTACGGAGATCTCCCAGAAGAGGAGACAAGGAGCCAGAAAAGTTCTTACTTCCGAGATGAATCCCCGTCACTGTGTTGTTTGAGGAGCAACGAACACCCGTCCACGAGCAGAAACTCTGGCGGTTTGCCTCGTCCCAGTCCGGAAGTGCGTCAACTTGAAGCGACAAGGCTCGCTTGAAAGACAGAAGGACGAGAGCTTCGTCTGTTTCCAACGCTTTCCTGTCCTGCTGTTCCAAATTAAAACCATAGCAGCACGCGAAATGTGAGAAGGCGATGAAAAGCAGAGTGATCACCTCCACCTCCATAGCCACAAGCTTCATTTCTATCCCAGAGTGAAACAAGACCAACCTGAGTCCTGACCAGCAGATGCGATAGTGGGGAAGAAAGACAAAAAGACTCACGGAAAGTCTTTTCGACTTTGTGACCGCGTTCGGAGACCGTGGTCGGTGGAACTGAACCACAGATCGAAAGGAAAAACCAAAGCCAAGGTCAAAAGAAAAAAAGAGCTCAGGGACCTCCACCTCGCTCGGGCTCTTTCCATCCACAGTACACCCCACCGCGACGCCCATGCCCAAGATCTCCTTGACAATCCCCTTGAACTCCTATGATCTTAGCGATGTCGATCACGTCACTTCACCTTCTTGCGGTCCTTCTCTGGCTCGTTGAGCACTTTGATCACCAGCGCCGCGGAACGATGAACTTTCTATGCGCAGACCCTTCCCGTCTCCTTGGCGATGGAGACCGATCTTTGACACGGCGCTGCGCCTACCTCACCACGAACACCTACCTGCGAGGCATTGCTGCAACTCTTCTGCCCTAATGCCGCTCATTCCTCACGGCCTCTTGTCTTGTCAGATAATTTCTCGCAGCTTCGATGCTCCCCTTGGTGACCAGGACGATGTTGTGAGCTCCATCATCTTGTAGAGAGCTCGGGTGGCAGATGATCCGACGTTTAGGAGATCCAGTCGACCAGAAAGTTGGCTATATTGAAGCTGATGAGATTGTAGCCATTGTTGGCGGCAAAGCTCAGATCAAGCACGTACATTTACAAAATCTTTGCCGGAAGAGTAGGAAGTCCATGTCAAACCCGGGGAATCACAAAACAAAGTTTACATGTATTAGGTTAATCATGGTTTACTTTCAATGATGGTTTCATGGTGTAGTTGGTCATCACGTCAGTTTAACACACTGAAGGTCTCCAGTTCGAACCTGGATGAAGCCAAATAAAGTTTTCAGAAATGCGTTTCACATATTTGTTCCAAATACCCCAAGTTGAAAAGAACCTGTTCGACTGAAAAGTGTTAGTTGCTTATCACTGTGTAATTTCCGGTTCGATTCCTGACACCGCCAACATATGTTCTGTCGTTCTTGCACTACTTGCAAGCGCCCAGGCATCTCCACCATCCCCCAGCTCGTTTGCGCGGCCGATGCAGTAGTAGTGCTCCACCAGCCTGTAGAGCGGCCTAGTTGCGGAGGAATCCTTCAAGTCAGTTCGACTAGCGACAACTCTGCAAAAGGCCTATGTCGCGGAGCTGGTCCTCGGCACAATCTCCTCCGGGATCCAGCCGCTAAGCTGGTTTTCCTCGAGCGCTACCTTTGACAGATCGGGGTATGCTTCCGGATAGGCGATTCTCGTCCACAGAGTATGGTGAGGAACAGTTTGCCACCGATTCTGGAATCGCACGCGAGAGCATATTGGAGTGAATACTCAGGATCGTCAACCTGTTCCCCAGAAAGGTCCTGTCTACCATCGAGTAGAAGCTGGACAAGCTCCATGCAGTTGGACAAAGCAGAACCCGTCAGCCTGTTTCCCCAGAGGTAGAGCAGAGCACAGCTTCACCTTCTCTGGAATCCTTCCCACCAAAATGTTCTCCGAGACTAGGAGCTCCCCCGAGATGCCAGAACAGTCGCTTAGCAATCCTGGCTTTGCCTGTCAGGTTGTTCCTGTATACCTGAGTTGTCGCAGCTTGCCGGTTCTCGATGAGAGTTATCTCCACGAGCTGCGAGCAATTCCCAAGCGACGTACCGGAGATGTTGTTGCCTTTGAGACGAAGAACACGTAGCCAGCCGAGGAGTCCGAGCTCCACATTTCACCGATTAACGAGTGATAGATGCTTTCCAAATTCCTGGATCGGACCAGTGAGCGTGTTGAAGCTGAGATTCAACGCTGTCAGCGATCCCTCGAAGCTAAAGAGCTCACCCGGTCCGAGCTAGTTGTCTGAGAGAGTTAGCAGATGTAAGCTGTGGAGATCTCTCAGAAGACAAGTAGCTTCAGATTGTTTGAGGAGAGATGACCAACTCAGCTGTGATGAAGGAAAATCTGATTTTTCTTAAAACTGGAAGGCCAGATCAAAGATCGAAAGGAAACAAACCTTAGCCAAGCTGCAAAAACTCAAAAAAGAGAGAGAGCAACGTACCAGCTCTCATAGATCTCCAGTCACTCTTGTCACTCCCCGTTTGCAAATCCTTGGAGCTCTTTCTCCATAGGACACCCCACCGCAACGCTTGGCCATGGAGTTGTGCATCATGATCTTGGCGATGTCGATCACATCGTCCTTCTTGCGGCTCCTTGGACGTCTAGAGCGAGACAATCAAGAGAGAGACTGAGAGATCTAATACAACCTAGTGGTATATCCCTCACTCCGCCTGAACAACGTCTTGCTTCATTCTTTGGCGCCAGCACCCACCTCGCTCCTGTGACCTGGACGAGTACCTCGTGCTACCTGTGATGGATCATTGCAGCAGCTCTTTTGCCCGATTTTGTCGGCAATGATGGGCTGCCATGGAAAGCCTGGATGAGAACCGATTATACCATGCGCGCCTTTCAAACACAATCTTACCACTTTGTCGCATCTCATGCATCTTTCCTGTCGACCGTCGCTCACGGCTGCCACCCTCGAGCTCTCTACAAGACGATGAAGCTCAAGCCTGTGATCACGTAAGTGCACTGCCAAGGCACGTCCTGGAGAAGAAGAGGATGGCTCCCCTATCAAGCTGATTCTAAGAGGCGGAGGAGCAAAGTTTAGAGGCCCTGGATTTGCTACGAAAATGTTGTTTGAACAACAATATGGGGACCGGCACCATGGCTAAACCACAAAATTATTTATTTGTTTTTTTGCCCACAAAATTGGGCACGGCAAGTGAATCTTCCCTGCTTATTAGAGATGCACACATATAAGTTGCCTACCTAGAACTTAGCACAATCTCCAACCTATTGTTGATTTATGATCCCTTGCAGGTCGAAACCCAACCTTCTTCATGCTACTTTCTTTATCCCCTTCAGTAACCCACCACAGTAAATAGATGCGCCTCATAAACGCAGCCAACATGTAAAGGCACAATGTTCCACCTATGCCGGTTGTGACGAGGATGGCATACCTGAAGCTAGGGTGTATGGTCCCAAACCCAGCTGAAGCGAATGCAACAAGAACAAATGCAATAGAGATGATGAGCAAGCCTGCAGCGAGAGTGAGTTTGGACCTAAGGTCTTTGAGAAGGTGGCCAATATACTCGTCGCGCTTGGGAAGAACACCTGTTGCGCCGATGACTGCACTGGCCATCCCGAAGAAGAACGATAGAGAATTGAATGCAGCAAAGATGTTCAATCCAGTTCTGTTGTTTGTGGTTGGCTGTTGCAAGACTCCCTGGAATGTTATACCAGCCAGCAGTGCCGATCCGACCAATATGGCATTCAGGGCCTCTACAGAGAGCGTCCTGTCCCTGTGCAATAAGTCGTTAAGATCCTTCACAGGTTGGCTTTCAACCTGCATCTTGATCTTGATGTTCTCTAGATTCTTTGCCATGGCTACAAGCTTGAGCTTTTCGTCCTTTGCATCGGCCCGATCCGCTGCTAAAGTAAACAAGCGATGTGCAACGACCGCGAGTTCATGTGGCGTTTTGTCGTTCTCATCCCCAGCTACTGCCTCCGCTTCACAAGCTTTGATCTTGAGGAGCTCATCCACAACGGCAGGCTTCACCAACAGAACAGCCCAGTGCAGCGCATTCTTCTTTGTGTTGTCGACGTTGCTGCTGAAACCTATATGATCCCACAGATTCTGATGCTCGATGAACTCGGCTGTGGCTTCCACCACAGATTTCTCATGCATGGTCCTGATCCAAGCCAGTATGAACGCGAAAGGAAGCTGCCCCGGCAGGTTCTTCTCCTCGCAATGATACCTGTTCTTCCCCCATCCCCATAACCTCCCAGAGTGCTTGTCCGACTCCTGTGACAGTTGAAAATCTCTCCATAGCTGCTTCAACGGCACTGTCATCCTCTCCAGAAACTTTTTCTTAAGATCTCTCACCCAGTCTCCCAGATCCACCTTCTCTTCATCCAGGAGCTCCAAAGCCAAAGCTTTCGCAAAGTCGAGCTTCCCAAGCTGGAGCGCATGTTGCAGCGCACACTTAAACTGATCCAGAAACTCGCCTTTGTCGGTCTCGATCAGCAGATTCCTGATCAGATGCACCAAGTGTTGAACAGCTTCCACATTGTCGGATTCAGCTGCACACTCCAAGAGCCTCACCTTCTTGACGAGCTTCCTCTTAGTTTCCCGGAGATACGGAGCCGTTAACTCGTTCTCAAGCCAGTTGTTGGTGCTGTTGCTTCCATATCGAGCAACATACTTGATCATATGCTCTGACAGGAATATATTCTTCAGGACCTGCATCTTTTCGAGCAGCATCTTGAGCTGGCGCTTTTTCCCACTCTTGTCTTTCTCGAAGACCATGTCCACAACGGTTTTCCCATCCTTAGCTGTGGCGAAGGGATTAGTCCCGGCTTTGTGAAGCAGGAGCTCCACCACATCAATCTGGAGTCGCTGGGTCGCATAGTGCAGCGGGAGCCAGCCTTGGACATGGTCAGCCACGGTTAAGTCAGCGCCATGCCGGAGCAGCCAGTCAACGGCACCCACGCCGCCCTGGAGAGCGGCCCAATGCAGCGGGGTGATATTATCGTTACTGGTCACGTTGACGTCAACCCTGGTCGCCCGGACTACCTCCTCAAGGGCTGCCACGCGTCCAGACTTTGCCGCAAAGTGGAGCATCTTGTAGCCGTAGTTGTCTTCGGCATGGACGTTGACTGGGGCACCGATGAGATAGCGAGCAGTCTCCAGTTGACCAGTCTCTAGTGCGAGGTGCAGTGGGGTGCGATTGTACTTATTCCCCACATCGGCCACATTCAGCTTGGCGCTGCTGGGGTCCCTGAGCCTCAACTCATCCATCAGGATTTGCAACACTTTGGCGCTGCCCCCTACTGCTGCCCTGTGGAAGGCCGTGTCCTGCGTGGTGCCGGCTTTGGTCATGATGTCCAATCTGGCATCGAACTTCTTGAGAAGAACGCTGACTGCGACGTGGTTGCCGGACTCGCATGCCAGGTGGAGGACTGGCTGGTCCTCGCCCTCCTCGGTCTTCAATCTTCTCAGGTCCACGCATTGACCGCTGGTCAGCTCCCTGATCCTCCTTGCAAGCCGCTCTTCATTTTTTATCACTCGGAATGCGCCCTCCAAGTCTTTGATCAACCCATCCGAAGACATTGTACACTCAAAGAACAGTAATGCCTAATAACTCAACT